AGGGTGTCAACGCCACGCTGTGCAAGGTCAGCGTCCTCCATGGAAAATGGTGCCGGGTACCCCGCCCGGACAAGCCCGGTGCGCGGGATAACACCTTTCAACGCAGAGTCATGCAGCACGCCGCCAGGGTCGACGGATCCTAAGGCCTAAGCCCCTGAGCCCTGAAGTTTCATTATTTCTTACCTTCCAGAACCCTGAGCCCCCTAGACCCCAAGCCCTAAACCTGAAAGTCACTCGTGCCCATAGTAGGAAAAGGATTTAGGTTTTAGGGGTTTCGGAGTTTGATGCAAGTGTTAACGCAAAAGCCTTGGACCCCAGGCAAAAGTCCCAACCCTGTCTTTGGAATCCTTGGGGTTTGGGGTTTAAGGTAACTCAGAGGCGGTCTTGACGATATGCATCCTACGATTGCGTGTTTATTTTCTGAGACGGTCCTGATACCGGCAGGGGTGGCTCTTAAGTTCCTCGGGAGTCCATGTCATAAGAGGTCCAAGCTCGACAACCCTAAACCCTAAAACTCTTAACCGAGATGGTTCGGATGCTTTGGGGTGCGTTTTTTTCGATGAATCTGCGATATCAAACTCTGGGAAGGCGGCCCTGGTGCTCTTCTTTCTGTTGTGCAAACTCTCATCCCATTTCAGGGTTTAGGCAATTTAGGGTTTAGGAGGGATCAGGGCTTATGGGGCTTAAGAAGTTGTGGTTTAGGGTTTAGGAGACCCTGAACAGGCACAGCGCGTTGCTATTTTATCACCTAGCTCTAAAACCATCAACCCTAAACCTGAAGCTTTCGACCCTGAGGCCCCGCGAATCCGCGTCCGTAACTCTAACCGAAGCGTTCAAGCCTTAAGACCCAAAGCCCTAAACGCCAAAAGTCATAAACTGTGAGCCCCGACCCCAAAACCCACAACCCTTAGGCTTTTCACAACTTATTGCACCTTGTCACAGTTCCTATATGACCGTATTGGCCTTATCTAAAATTCTCGTAATTAAACCTGCTCTCTTGTGCCAGTTGGACCCTTCTGAAACCCAGTTCGCGCTCTTTGACATCTGAACCTATAATACGTCAGGATATATTTCGATGCTTGATGAGAAACACTGCTGGGACGCCAGTGAAAGTATTTGTGAGCTGAAGCAAAGTTAGCAACTCGACACTTCGAACCCGAGGCGCTAGACTCAAGACATGCGTTCAAAGGTCAGAACATCAGCACGCTTCAAAGTCAAACTTTCGTATGGCAAAGCTGCAAACTTTCAAACGTACAAGACTCCAAACTCTCAAACTCTCAGTCCTTGAGGCTTTCGAAGTTTCGAACTCCGTGTCTTTCAAGTTTGCAAACTTTCAATCAGTGAAAGTTCAAACCTCCACGAGTTGAAAGTTTCGAACTTTCCATCTTTCCAACTTCCAAAGTTTCGAAGTTTCAAGCTCCCCAGTTTTCAAACTTCAAGCTCATGCCTTGCAAACTTTCGAACTCGAACCCGGGAGCTGCTCCGTGACTCCACCTTCGTATCCCTAGCACGGCACTTGTTTTCGCACTCGTCACTCCGGCTTCGAACTTTCGAGCTGGATTCCCGTTCAAACCTTCAAAATCCAAGCTCACGCCCGCTTTCAAATTCGAAGCTCTCAAACTTTCAATGTTCATGCCTTTCGTCTCCAAACTTTTCAAACCTTCCAACTCTCTAACCTTGTCCCACCTTTGAATTGTTCAAACTTTCAAAGATTCGAGTTCGAAAAACCCACTCGTGACACCTATCGGTAGGGGGGGAGGGAGGGGAAGGGTGGAAGGCGGGGGACAGGGGGAGGGGAGGGGGAGGGGGAGACGCCTGAGGCCTGTGTGGCCTCGGTGGACGAGTGTTTACTTGAAAACTCAAGTCCCGTCGTACGTTGTCTGATTTATGCAATCTCTCGCACTCTTGTTGACCAGTGTGAAAAGGATGCATACACAAACACAGAGGTACATTGGGACGGTTTGCATCGCCATACATTCAGATTGCGCTTCTCCTTGTTCCAAGATTCAATAAAACTGCAAGAGCCAGGGAGGGATTGCATCAAGAAGCACCGAGCCAGTGGATGTTACTAGGCCAGAATATTCGCTTGACTGGGTTTAGCGTGGGCACACCGCACATGATGATTGGCACAGCCTGGAGGCAAGATTGGCCTCTACAACGCGAAGAACAACAAGTACATCCGAATGAACCATGAGGACTCACGCGATGTGAAGCAGTCGAGAGTTTGGGAAAATGTCGCATGGTTTTTCGGCTGAGACCGTCTACGTGGAATTTCTTCTATGCGCTCTTTGGATTATTTCCATTGTCGCTCCTTCAGGCCCACTGAAAGATGAAGCGCGCTCTCAGAGCAGACCGACCCTCGTGTTCGTGTCTTCGTATTCCTGTCTCCAATGCTAGCGCAGATCGTCCTCACCCAGCGATCGCGTGGAGGTTATCGGGTGGTGATCCTGGGTCCGGTCTCTTTTCCCGGTGCGTAGCCTGAGATTTCCGTCTGCCGTTGTCCATTGGCGCTTTCTCTTATGATCTCTTATGCATCCCACCACAGCCGCGGTGGAGGAGTTGATGCTGAGTGTATTTTTCCGTTCGAAGGTGAGTGCAGCGCGGCGCGGCCCAGGCTCTTTAGGCGTTGCTTCTGCCGCGTGCGCAGTGGGCGAGCAGTCAGAGGTAAAGACGGCACAACGTAGGTCTCGAGCTTGGAGGCTGTGATCAGCCCGGGGCCCTCACTGAAACAAGTTTGCACAGGGTACTGTCCATGAACAGTTGGGTGACGAGGACATGGACGCTGTGTCCTGGCGTAGATCCTGGGAGAGTGCCTTGGCAGATGCGCGCTTTCGCCAGAACGACTTGTGACGTCTTGGCTCAACTCGAGCCTTCAAGAGCCCCTGGACTCCGAAGGTCTCCCACATCCCCCACCGCCTGCAGGTTTCTCCGTGTACGATGCTGGCAAGGGCGAGATCGCTTTGCACTGCGACGTCTTCAATCGCTTTGTCCGCATGCGGGATATTGATAAGGTGGCTACCAAGCTGCAGACCAGGGATCGGGGGAATCGTAGCTGCCTGGGTGTGCCTCAGCAGCCCCTGCGTGCAGCGTCTTTCACTTGGGCCGAGGCCGCGACCTTTTCGCATAAAACAGTAGTAACGCATCACAGCAGTCTCAGTCGTAGCGTGTCAGCAAGGATGCCAGCGGCGCTTCCAAGGCTTTTGGCCTCTTGTGCTTAGCTGTGTTGTCACTGACGGTGTGCAGCAAGATCGATGGCTGCTTGCGCATGAGTACCAGTATAGCCCAAATTCCGAATCTTGTCAAAATCGAATCCCACGCGACGAGACTCTTCCGGCCGGCTGGACGTGGGAGCGCTTCAAGCCGGTCCAGGCGAGGCCTTGATCTAAGGCATGGGCCGGGAGTCTCCTTGGGGGGATCCTCGGTGTCGTTTGAGAAGTCCAAACAAGCATTTGCATAAAGATCATTCGGCGCCCGTGCAGGTCCTCCTCAAGCCCGGCAGCGAGATTGCTCTGCACAACTCGATCTTCAATCGATTCATGCGAATGCGCCTTGGTGAGGTGATGTGCACGTGCTTCCAGAGTTGACCAAAAATACTGCAAGGGGCCAATGCAAGCTCAACTTCAGAGACCATTAAGGCACGGTGACGCCAACAAGATGGATTCCTCAGATGTGAATCCAGACTGCAACAGATTGCAGCAAGTGCTTATTTTTGCGGAGTACAGTGAGTACTTGACATCAGCTCGAAACTTGGTGGGAGAGCTCCAGCCTCTTTGACTTTCTTCGAAGGAAGCATATCAATGCACTGCCCGATGGGTGGACCTGGGAGCGCTTCAAGGCCACTCACTTCTCTTCGCAGGTGTAGGACAGTGTAGGATTTAGGGATGCTATAGAACCCTGACCGAATGCTTCCTGTGGCTCAACTTCTAAGGTGGTCGAAGCTGGCTTCGGGCAGGTCGCCCTCCACAGCAGCATCCACAACCGCTTCGTGCGAATGTGGCACGGGGTGCGGCCCCGAATCCATTCGCTCACAGCAGGAAGCGAGACAGTTTTCTGTCATGGCTGCTTGCACTCCGAGGACATGGATCGAAGTTCGAACAAGGATGCCGGTGCCTTGCCCCTTGGCCTCACAACTAAAGGACTAAAGCACACTAAACCCACGCGGCCCACGTGGCTCCTGCCTCTCCGAGGCCTCCAACTGGCCTGCAGTAACTCTCTGAATGCCGCGATACGTCGCCAGGCCGGCTAGCTGGTGGGCAGAGCGCTTCACAGTCGTTGACTGCGGCGGTGGCAAGGCCCGAACGCCAAGAACATGGACTTATCGTGACTCTTCTGTTGGATGTGCAGTCCAGGTCGCGTTCCATAACGCGCGCTTCAACCGCTCCCTGGCCATCGAGTCCCTACGTGTCCTCGCATGTTCTGCATGTATGGCTGCCACAAGTGCTCCCGATGAACACGACAGCACGTTTTCTGCAAGAAGCGGTTGGGGAGAGCGTCTCGAAGGATGCTGCAGCCATCCGAGGCTTCGTTCGAATGAACCACGGCGACATGGATCGTAGCGCGACGAAGGAGCCTTCGCATTTTGCGACTAGTTGCAGTAAAGCTACTGTAGCACCGAACATGTATCAGAAGCGGCGGAAGGCTCTTGTTGAATCGACAAGAGCTTGACTCAGGAAACGGGAGGAGGCTATATCCACTACCTAGGACAGATGTCACGACAGCCGTGATTTGTTGTTGGCGGCGTCGTCATTTCCTTTGGCCTAAATTCTTTTCTTCGTCTTCCATCGTGACAGCCCCGCCCAAGCCTTTCCAATGTCGAGCCATTGTTTATCCCATGTTGCTTGGGGTTACCCGAAAGACAAGTTGGCAACGTCATGGAGGCCTTGCAAACGAGACGAATTTGATTGAGGATCATGGGTCACCTACTTAAGAGCAAGTCGCCAGGCTGGGGATGCGCTGCCCAGCGGATGGACTTGGGAATGCTTCACACCCATTGAGGCCCTTTGCTTTCCGTGCATCGTTCGCCCTTACAGTCTTATCAGCCCAAGATGCCCACACGGTGTCAGGCGTTCACGTGCAAGACTGGATCTGGCAGCTACCGGGCACAAAGTATGGAGCCAAATGCCTGACCTGACTTCGTTTCAGCTGAGGTAGCTGCAGGAGTTGCGTTGCACCCGGCTCGCGAACCGCGCGGCGCCCAGAACAAACGTCATCACTCTTAGCTGATGCGGGTTTGTCATCGCTTGAGCCCAGCCCCGCGGGTCCAGGCCACGGACCACTGCAACAGCTGCAACGCCGGCTATGCTCTCGTTGGCAGGGTGTGCAAGGCTGGTCGGGTCATGTAGGGTCCAGAGCCTCCCTGAATGCAGCCGCCCTGATGCCTCAGAGCGAGCACGCCGTGACCAGCGCCCCGTCGGCGAGAGGCGACGACAAGACCACCACAGCGACATGCCCGGCTGGTTGCTGGGCCAGGATATGCCAGGATCTGGTAGCGTTTCTAACCTGCTTGGAGAGAGGCAATGCCATTGCGCTCGCGCCTTGTCACCCGAACCCCAAGCTTTTAACAGGCCGCGTGCTCTCAGAGGTCGCGGTCTGCCTCGGTGCATTGAGGCATGTACATCAAGAAGTGCGAGGTGATCAAGGTCGGATCTGCGCCTCGGCTGGACGGTCAATAACTGACTGGCTTCTTTGGCAAGTGGTCTGCCAAGGACCCCTAAGTTTTCGCTAGGCTGCAGGGCCAATAATTCCCACAGCTACATTGAGGGACACAGATCACATTGATCTGAATCTTGCCCTTGCCAAGTGAGCTTCGTGAGCGTGCTGGATTGTTTTCCTACAAGCAATGGTTTACTTTCCGTTGGACCAGGGGTTCGGACTCCAGTTGCCTGGTTGCTGCGCCCAGGGAAATCTGGCAGACGGTGCCGTGGTCAGCGACGATGCAACGAAGTGTACCGCACAGAGCCGCTTGGAGAGCAGGTGCCGACTGGGTCGATGCAGGTTGCTCCATGCTGCAGGTCTGCAGTGTAGTGTATTAACGACGTCTCTGACATTCCTTGACCTTTGATGACTGTTACCATGAAGATGAGGATTGTGAGGATGGTGGTGGTGATGACGACGACGACTGCGATTGTGGTGCTTTTTTTTGGTGCTGGTTGTGGTGGTGATGGTGAGGAGGTCCCGGGAGTCGCAGTATGGCCAAAGCAACCCGCAGCCGCAGCGTTGTCGCAGTCGCTGTCGCTTTTGCTTTCGCTGCCATCGTCGTCGTCGTGGTTGTGGCGGTTGTGGGTGTGGTTGGGGTTGTGGTGGTTGTGGTTGTGGAGGGGGTTGTGGTGGTTGTGGAGGTGGTTGTGGTTTTGGTTGTTGTTGTGGTGGAGGTGGTTGTGGTGGAGGTGGTTGTGGTGGAGGTGGTTGTGGTTGTGGTTGTGGTTGTGGTTGTTGTTGCTG